AGAAGGGAACAAACTGAAAGTTGCTTAAACCTGACCGTTGTAAGGAAGCAGTTGTCATGTGAGTGTAAATGTGCTGAAGCCAGCACAAAGTCAGTGCAAGCTCCGAAGTGAATCTCTGCGATGACAACCAACTCATTTCTGTCTGTGCGTGAACCAAATTTTATTCTCAGAACTGCAAGATCCATTTAATTGGGAGTATTTTACATTGTTCTGCATGTTGAAATGCTTTAATGAAATACTGAAGTTATTTACCTTTTAAGCTTCTATTGACTTACTGGAGCATGGAAGTATTCATAGTAAAATACAAACCTAACACAAACATAGTGTCTGCCATGGCAGTAATAGGCTGAATCTTTTTTTTGGGGGGGGCAATAAATGTAACTGCGTTATGCAATTCACTTAAATTTAGCATTTATGTTATTGAGGAGAAACCATGCCACGCTTCATTGGTATGTGTAGGTAAAGGATATTCTGTCTTTGAAGACCTGGGGCTCTGAGCTTACAGTAGCAAAACTGTAGAGTTCAGTGTGTTCAAAGAGATTATTGCTTTAGCCCTCTTAAATAAAAAAGGACACTTTCCTTGTTACTTCTTATTCAATGGGTTCTAGTCCTTTACATGAACTCTGCAAATGCTGCCTTATGTTTCTTTCCGTGTGCTTTAATCATCTGAATTTAGTAATTTCACACTGAATAGAAAGAATGAGACTTTTAATGACTTAAAAAAAAAATGAAATCAAAACAAACCATGCATTGATGTTGTCTTTTCTTGTTTGTATGTCCACTATTGAACTTTGAAATATTTTTGAATTTCTTTATAATTCTACCTCAGTGTTGGTGGTGATGATTTAAAATGACAATGCAACTAAGTATGCTGCAGTGCTTAGAGCTAATTAAATGCTGGGGTCCTTTGCGTGGCCTTCACATTTTCTCAGCCTGTGCATCTTTGGATGCTCTTGAGTTATTAAAAAAACCTATGTTATGATAAATCCATTCTTTCCTGAGCTATTACAGCTCTGCTTAGTCTTAAAATGATTCCCTAAATATTTATTTTTCATCTTAATGTACATTTCACATCAGCAAATCCTTGTATAAGCAATTTGACATGATTATTCTGAAAAACAAGTGCTCACCTCTGTGTGTCCTCCCTAGGCATCCCAAATGTTTGGGTCAAAGAGAATTGTAGCCAAGCAATCATTACTCTCAGTACTTCACAGCAGGATAATAAGGTGTTCCTTTTCTTACACAAGAGCTAAACAGGTGGTATAGTACTGTCAGTGCAATATGAAGAGTGAATGTTTAAATCACGTATTTATTCCAATTCCTTGGTGGTTCTCAATATGTTGGTTGGTTGCAAAACCAGCAGTAATCTCTGTTGCACAAGAAATCAGCCATCTGTTTGCTAAGGGGGAGCATTGTCCTGACAGGCCAGTCTTAGATACTGCCTCAGAGAGGACTACAGAAAAAAGGGCAGTTCTGAAGGCTCAATGCAAAATAAAGCCAAAACTATTTTCACACCCTTGGGTGACATCAGGAATCTGAAAGTTTGCACTGTTAAGGGGTATGAATGGTATGTCCAGATCTTGTTTGCATGAATTAGATTCTACTTATAGTTTGATTTTTCTCTTCTTCAGTATAATGCTTCACCACAGCAGCAGAGAGATATAATAAAGAGTAGGAGTCTGGACAGGAGGCTACAAGAACCAATAGTTTTAACAAAATGGAGGCACAGCACAATTGTGTTGGACACCAACGATAAGGTAGGAGCAAGTTAAACAGCATGCTGGAATAACTGTTTCTGATGCGTGAAGTGTCTAATCTAACAGAAATGAGTATGCATGAATTTCTTAAATCTCATTTTTCTTACATTCTGTTGTGTCATTGTGTATTACATTCAGCGAAACAAAGGGCTGTTCGATAACTTTACTACTCTTACTAGCAAGTAGTAGCTTTCTTTCATGCTATCCTGGAAGTATTGTAACTAGTGTTAGTTCAGGGTTTGGCATGTACAGCCATTTTACTTATAATTGGGCATCTCCCACATCACTGAGGCTGTGGAGTGTAATTAGGGTTTGAATTCAACAATTATGGTTGTGGGTGAGATTCTCATGTAAGTTGCAGTGATACTTCATGCCCAAACATTGTAATTGCAGGAAATACCAAGTAGGAATACACTTGAAACATTACTGATGAATAATTGAAGTATTCATAGAACAATTGAAGTATTCATAGAACTGAAATAAAAATTACACTTGAAGTAAAACTTATGCTTTAAAGAGAGAAGCAATGCTTTAAAGAGAGAAGTAGTGGGATTATACAGTGGGGTAATCCCTTTAATGACTGTTCCATTGATCTCCACTCTAATATCTCAAGTAAAGAGGAGAAGTGTTGTGTGGCTACAGCAGGGTTGTGATTTTGTTGGAGGGCAGGACTGTTCTGAAAGTTTGGAAATGATTGGCTTTGATCCTTTCCAGGGCTGAGTTGGCAGTTTAGTCTAAAAGAGCGGTGGGTCAGTAACAACAAAAGCTCTTTTCTGTCTGTTCTTAGGATGTGTTCTTGAGAATCTGTTTTGGGCTGTATGGTAACAGATGCTGTTTAGGCCAAGGAGACAGTCTCTCCTGCCTCTCTTTGGTTTGATTTTTGTCCTGGTCGTTTCTGCTTATGCTGGAACATTCTGCCCGTGGATGAGGAGAGTTGGTGTGAGCTGGGCAGGAAGGAACTGAAACGGGTGTTGTAGGGTGGCAACTTGCTGGTTTCTCAAAGTTTGCAGGAGTCCATCCCAAGGTTCATGGAACCTGAAATACTTTGTAATGCTGAAGTCTTGGCACACACTACTCATGATGGGATATCAGGAAACAGCATTGTAAGCTCCCTTTTTCTAAAGATACAATGAAAAATGCAATCAATGTATGTTTGGGAATATGGAGAAAAGCCTGTAAGTAGGCCCATGTAATCCCAGATGTCAAAGACAAACAAATGGACAAAACAGTAGCTGTAATGAAAATGGATGTGCTGCCCACAATGTTACTTGCTTGACTTCTTGTTTCGGGTATGTTTTAGTGGCTTTTCTTGTTAAAATGGAGTATAGGAGAGTGGGTTGTCATGAGTTTGCTTAGTTCCTCAGAATAGGATTTGAGATAGATTTGAGCTTAAGCTTTTGAGCTGTCAGTTCAGAACATATCATACGTGGTGCCGAGGAGGCAGTGGATCGTGCTTGGCTGGAGATGTTGCACCTTTATATGTTAGTTTAGCTCGAGCAATTCTGATGTCCCTCTACTGCTCCTTTCCCCTCACGACGAGTCCTTACGCATCCTTCTGTGCCAAGAGCTGTGGCACTGCATGAGAGACCACCTAGACGGATCCTGGTAGATCGTAGAATGGTTTGGGTTGGAAGGGACCTTAAAGATCAAATAGTTCAAATACCAAGACCTTAAACCTAGTGAAGTAAGCATGCAAATATCCATGTCTAGTGTAATAACCAAAAGAAACTGCCTATATGAGCTGCACTTGTAAAGTCTAAGCCAGTAGTTTAAAGTTCTTTTAGCAGCTTCAAAACGTTCAGGCAGCATGCATTTGTTAATGCTGATGAGACTGTGCAGTTCCTATGAAGCACCATGTTAATGTTTTGAGAAAATTAAAAATGTACAGTGGCGCAGTAAACTAGTGTTTCGTGGAAAGACAAATTTTGTTCAGTGCATTGATGCAGCGGTTTTACTGCTGGCAGGCACAGTGTTGCATATATTGCTTTAAATTAGTATGTGAAGAACCAATAGTTCATGACCACAAATGCTAGAATTCTTGTTCCAGAGCTGCTTAGTGTATGAAAGCTATCTCAAATCTAGAAAGAAATAGAAAGATACAAACCCTGATATTTAGCAGGATAAGTACATCAACCCCAAGTTAGCTTTTCAGTTAACTCCTAGGGAAGCTGTTTTTGGTTTTTTTTTTTTCCGTATTTGTTTTTCCTGGAAAAAACAACACAATCCTATGAAAATAGGCCAATCAAGAAGTGCTTTAAATGTGTCAGTGAAAGTATGGGTTGCCATGGCTGAGAATTTGATGATACCAAATGTTACTTGTTAACTGTTTATTGGCTGTGGCACATATCCATGTATAGACATTACCTAAATAAAAGGTAAACAGAGGAAAAAACCCACCTTCCTGTGAGGGACAACATTGATTTCCTTCTTTTGAACATTTTTTTTTTTCTCTGGGACATCTGAAAACATGGAACATCTGGAGTCTTCTACAGATTTCTAATGTTCTCTGTTATTGCACTGCAAAAATAACTAGTGGAGCACTTCTGTAGGTAGATTCACAAGTGGATTTTAAAGCACATGTGTGCAGTGTGTTATGTAATGCTGGAAAAGCCAACAATTTGGGAGAGCTGTCAAGGGAATTAAAAAGAGGGAGGGGGAGAAATGTGTTAACAGGAACAGAACAAGTGACGTTTTTCTTCTGTTTGAAATTCTTTACCAGATTTTCAAGCGGTGCATTTGCACAAAGCAATCATTACTGCAGAGGAAATGCACATGCCTTTTTTGTTCCCTATGGGCAATTTGTCTAGTTTTCAGAGATTTAGTACTTTCTTCTTTTGATCTGTAGTTAGCATTTAGTTTAAAACTAAAACCTGAATCTCTGTAAGTTTTCAGTCCCTGATCATAAGGAAATTAATGATCAGAACTCTCAGAAATGAATAGACCTATTATATGCTTTTCTACATGCATGTAACAATTTAGTGTACTAATCTTACATTTACTAACCATACACAGACATCATCTGTTCTTTAAAATCTTGGTGTTTATTATAAGTATTACAGATGTGCTTCAGACTGTATTAAGATTTTTTTCAAATGGATGTGTCCTAATTAACATAGCATGAGTGTTGCCTGTAGATCTTGTCAGAACACTGTTTAATAAGCAGATTTATAATTATCTGAGAATATCATGAATGCTTTAAAAAATATATTTTTGGGGGGAATGTACAAGTGTGTATAAGTAGGAAGTGTCTTTAAGGATAAATATTAAAATAACTGATTACCTTTCTTACAATTATGTTGTCTGTTTGATTTTTACAGGAATCATCAACTGCTTCTAAGGCCAGTTGTCCTGAAAATGAGTCCTCTCCTTCTTCACCAAAGCATCAAGCCACAGTCAGTATGCAAAGTGTTTAAATAGATAAGTAGATATTGTAGAACTGGGCTATTCATGATTAGAAAACTGAGGGTAAGCCTGCCTGTTATTGAGAAAAATAACAGCATAAAACTGTTGGAAGGCTTTGCCTTTTAAGAGGAATATATTGCATCCAACTATGCTTTCATGAAAAAATGTAAATGTCTTTGCATTAAATACAGCTTAGCGATAAGAGTTGAACTTAAAAATTCACTGTGGAGTAAAGTTATGTCAGATTACATAGAACTCAGTTTACTTCCTCCAACAGTAATGTCTTCTCATCTAGCAACTTGGAAGGTAAAAGCAGAAACCAACTCCCCCTCTCTGCAGTATCTCTCACTATCAGTCGTCAGTAGTAGTTTAATACTTTAATTTTTTACTTGTGTTTCAGTCTCCTTGAAAAGACATAGAGGGTCTGGCATAAATAAACTGCCTTTTTTGATTTAGTAGAATAACTATTGGGAGGAAAATTTAAGCTTTTTAAACTTGCTAGGAATATTTAACAGGGTTTTTTTTTTTGCTTCAGTTTATATTTTAAATGTGAATAATTGCTTTTTAAACAGTGGGAAATAATTAAAGAAAAAAGTTTATTTGTTTTTAATTTTCAACGTGTACTACAGTAACTTTTTGAAATATGTGCTTTGATCAACTTTTGCAGCCATTTAGTAGGTAGCTCAGGACATCAAAAGCACAACAGAATGAACTTCTGTTTCATTCTTACTCTGCACGCAGAGAAATAGTTCTCTGGCTGATCCATTCTTACAACTCTTAAAGCAGTTTTCCACAATAAAATAAATGATGTTTATTAAGCAAGCATAGTTGATAGCCTTACACACAAGCAGTTACTGCTGCTTGTATTCTGTTTTCTTTAAATATAGCTCAGGCATTGAATTATTGAAATTGTCTTCTACAGAAAGAACTTACTGCTGCTTTAAATAATTAAAAAAATCTGTTTTCTATAGCTGTACCGTGGGATTTAAATATTACTTAGAAAGCTGGTGAATTTTTGTGTATTTTGATCCTTAACTTGCCTTCCACTTCCTTTTCCCTGATCACATTAATTTTCCCATTAGTACCCCCTAGTGTTGCTCTTAAGTAGGGCATTTTGATTTTCTGAGTAATTCTGCTTTGGAGCATTCCCACTGGTTCCACCATGAGTAACTTATTAAAACCATAATTTATTTGAGCAAGTGGGCATGGGTTGCTCAGTCACTGTGAAAGATGGTAGCAGGCAGCTCCACTTGTGAAGCCAAAGGTTTGTTAGAAGGGTGCAGTGCCCAGGACTGTTTGCTAGTGGTGGTCTGGATATTAGACTGAGTAAGAATAGCAGTTACCACTGGACTGAAATAACATCTGAACCACTAGCAAAACGCTATTATCCTTGAAAACACATCTTTTTTTTTTGTATTTTATCTGCTATGCTTGAGACATGTAGGGAAAATTTTTAAGATAAAAACAGATCTGTGTCTCTGGCAAGAGTATTGTCACAGTGGTCCAGCAAAAAAATTTCAGTATTGTATTCTGCAGCTGTGGTCCACTTAAATTTGAGATTGAGGAGAACGCTGGAGAGAATAGCTTTGATTTTCATTGGATCTAGAGTTGAGGACATTTTTATTATGATAAAACTAATTTGAAACTTTCCCTAGTTGATAGTTTCAAATCTGTGTCTCTGGCAAGAGTATTGTCACAGTGGTCCAGCAAAAAAATTTCAGTATTGTATTCTGCAGCTGTGGTCCACTTAAATTTGAGATTGAGGAGAACGCTGGAGAGAATAGCTTTGATTTTCATTGGATCTAGAGTTGAGGACATTTTTATTATGATAAAACTAATTTGAAACTTTCCCTAGTTGATAGTTTCAACTAAAAGCTTAGTTCTTAAATTAGCAACTGTTGCAAGCTGTTACTGAAAAGAAATAGATTTTTAAAATAATTTAACATTCCTCTAGCACAATTCACTCGTAGGACAAGACTGGGGTGACAGGAGGAGATGACAGAAATTGTTACCTCTTCTGGAGTGTCACAAATGCTATAAATGGATGGTTTTTCTTTTTATCTTAGAATATTTTTTTTCAAGCACTGCTTTGTATTTTATTATATTTGCATAGAAACTAGAAATATTCACTCCAGGTACTTGAAACTTGCAAATACCCACTTTGTTCAGCGGTATTCTTTTTCCACCATTCACTGACTGATCTAAATTTGTTCAGAGGCATACCAATACAAATAATTTTCATCAGCAAGACATAACTAAGTTTAAAATTCTAATATTTTGCTTGGGGACAGGATGAAAAAGGACATCAAAGAAATGCTTCACTCATCTGTTTTAGAAATGAATATGTTAATATTTTTATGCATTTCAACCATGTTTTATTTAAAATATGCAATTATGTAAAAATAACTTGGAAGAATTAACTTAGGCTGTTTGTTTGTCTCTATTTCCTTTTTAAGTAAAGGCCACAAACACAAATGTGCTAATGCTCAAATCGTTATATATCTGTGTTTAAACTTCCACTGTCCGTACCACAAATGACTTAGTTTGGGTTGTCCAAAGAACTTAGGCCTTGGAGAAGGAAAGCTTTTTACCCCCTGAATGGTGATGAGTACTTCCCCAGAGAAATAGGGTTTTTCTGATCTCTGCGTACTTCATTATATTTATAACGGTTTCTTGAAGCTGTAATATGGGCAAAGATGGCTTATTGCCAGAAATTGATTATCTGGGGGATTGAATTCAGTGCTGCGATGGCAATAGAAGCAGATTTTATTTTATATTTGTGATGTCTTACTCTGTTTTACAGGGTCAAGAGAAGTATGGGTTATTGAATGTGACAAAAATTACAGAAAATGGGAAGAAAGTTCGGTAAGTATTGGACTTGCAGAAGTACATGTGTGTAAGGGTTTGTGTAAGGTATCTGACTTGTATATTAGAATAACATACAGGGTTTTGCAGTTTCTTTGTTTTTTGTCTGGATCCAAGGGGATACAGTGGCTCATGGAAGCTGTGGCTGGTACCGTGTACTTTCACCATTGATGTTGCCTGTGTTGAAATCATTGATCTGGGTGACTGGGCTGCTGTACAGAAAGATGCATCATGGTCATCCGGTCAATTTGAGTGCTGTTAAATGATAATTTATGTTTGGGCAATAGAAATAGATTGTCAGGGCCTGTCAAGACTTACTTTTTAACCTCAGGAGGGCAGGTACTGAGGCATGAAAGCAAATGGTCAGACAGCTGGAACAACTCATTTGTTCTTTTTCCTCATTTCTTAGGTTTGTAGCAAGTATTTTATTGCCAGTGTAGATGAGCTTATTACATGAATGTGGGTCACTGGCAACCCAGTTAGATGTGATTAGTTTCAGAATTACGCAGTACTTTGGCGTGATGTACTAAGTACACAGTAGGCTGAGCGTTCCAGATTAGCCCCCTTTGAAACTATAATTGTATGATGTTTCTCCTGATGAACTGCTTCCACTACTAATTACCTTTGTTTGGTTTAGACTTCGATGGTCAAGCTGGGACTGTTAACATATGTTCCCTTCTACAAATATGATAGCAATTAAGGCTTACTGATGGCACTAATGACTGTATATATGGTTAAGTATATTAACATACAGGTCAGCTGGGCAGCAGTGATTGTCAGTTTAAATATCTACTTTCAAAGTCAATTTGTCTTATGTTTGTTTATAATTATTTACAGAAAGAATTGGATGTCATCATGGGCAGTTTTACAAGGTTCATCGCTACTGTTCACTAAAACTCAAGGAAGTGGAACTGGCTGGGTAAGCTCAGGAACAACCCCCACCCTCATTTATGTGTTAATCACATAAAGCATAATAAATTAAAGCCCTCTTATTTGTAGGGCTTAAATACTGATATGCATGCATAATTAAGAAAAAATAACTTATCAGGAAAACAGTTTAATGTAATAATTATGTAGAATGAGAACAAAACCAGTTGTACTTTCTTATATTTCAGGAACATTTTTATATTTGATAGGTAAGAAACTGGTAAAGAGGTATTCAGGTGCCCTGTAAGCTTGAAGTTTTTGCTCCAGGCCAAATATTTTTGTGTTCCTTACTAACGTGGTTGTCTAAACAGTTTGTTTGTTTTACTGTTCTTGGATATTTTTTTCATAAACTCCAAGTAATTTTCAATGTGATACATGTAATAAAGAGCATAGCCTGACACTTGGCTTGTTGCACTTGGACTATTTGAATAATGTAGTATTGATGTCTTATCTTTTAGTCTTTGCCTTGCTGGAGTTCCATATTTTGGTTTATAGCTGCATAGTGCATGTCAGGTATTTCTATCTATTTTGAGGTCTGAAGACCTAAAGAGAAACATGACACTGAAGGTGATTATTCAATTTTATATCACCTGGAGTTTAATAGCACTATAATTAAATGGGCTATATTTATCCAGCTGCATTGCTACATTAATAGGTATAGAGATGGTTCCGTATCTACGGCTTACTTACCTACATTTGGAGGTCTGACATTAAACTGTGTGGATCTCTTACAGTAAGTAAAGAGGTCAGCTTCAGTATTTGTTATTCCAGCGTATTATCATGTGAATTCCAGCAAAATGGCATCTTGCAGATATATGCTGTCTTGCTGTGCTTTGCTGATCTTTCTACTCGGTTCACTTTCTCCTGCTGCGCTTCTTTTGGGTAGTGAATGGGTGCTGACTGTTCTTTTCTGAAGTATTTAATTCATTTCAGAGCTGTAAACGTTTCTTTGCCCTTCTGTTGCTGTAGAAGGGGTGGTTGGAAAAAATGGCTGAGGATGGTTAAATAACATCTGGGGTAGAAGAAAATGGAAAGTGTAAAGTTGGGCGAGGTGGTCGAGCAGAAGGAAGAGAGAAGGGAAGGAAAAAGAATAAAGACTGAAGGCATGAGATGGGGAACTGTGCTGCCTGGTGGGAAGTGGACCTGGTGACCTCAGGAGGTCTGCCCACACTGTATGGGGGGAGGGGAAGAGAAGGTGATACACGGCAGAGACAAGGCACAGAAAAAGGCACAGAAACATGTATATATCTGAAAGTTACTGACTTCCCACATGTAAACACTGGGATACTAGGTAAATAAAACTACCATTTTTCATCAGTGAGAAAAATATTATCTCTAAGAAAATGAACAGAACTTGTGAATTTTTTATATATAAACTTTGTGTTAAAAGTATGTTGAAGAAATATTGAAGGACCTTAAAAGGTGAGCTTTGAAGCAGGAAGTATTGGGATTTGGAAGGTTTTAAAACTCTT